TATATAACATGAATTAGTTATTTTAACAGATTTTAAGTGTATAATTCAGTGACATTAACTGTGTTTGCAGTGTTGTACAGTCATCACCACCAATAAAAGATTGCTTTGTGTAATATCTTGTCTTACTGGATCACCAAGTGGCTAGGAAATGTAACCTGATTTTTGTGAACAATTGCTTATGTTGATAGAGGCTTAAACTTTTTTTTTTTTTTTTTTTTGATCAGGTTAGGTGTATATTTACTAAGACCATTTGTCTTAAAATAATGGGTGTTCTCAAATTCATCTTTTGACATTTAATGGAGTTTGGATTCCTTTTTTCAGTGTGGGCATGTATTAACTTTTTATAGTGAAATTTGCAGTTTCTGTCATCCATTTATGGCTAAGCTGAGTTTTGTCTAATTTATAAGATTGTAATAAAAAAACGACTAACTCGCTGCCATTGAGTTGATTCTCACTCACAGCAACCACCATTGGACTTCCAAAGCGGTAAATGGTTACAGAAGTAGATTGCCCCATCTTCCTTCCGTGGAGCACTGGTGAGTTTGAGCCACCAAACTTCTGATTGGCAGTCAAATGCTTTAGACACTGCGCCACAAGAACTACAAGATTATAATAGAATGCAAATCTAAAAATTGGCAATTGAGGTCACTTTGATGTTTCAGGATTGATTGCTTACAAGAATTCTGTAGTTTGACCATTTTTATTTTCAATGAAACAGTATAGCAAGAAAGCATTAACAGAAAAAAATATATGAAACTATTTATGAATGAAAATCAGTTGCAGCCTAGGCCATTTATTTTTACATTAAAAAACAAAACAATTGATTTGATACTTGTGCTTTTATCATTAGGGAGGATTTAGAATTATGCTTGTAGGAAGTTAGGAAAGATGCCAAGACATGGAATCCTAAACTGTTAAAAAGAATACTATATGGCACCATGGTTAAGTGCTTGACTGCTAGCCACAAAGTGGGTGGTTCACCCCCACTCACAGGCTCCTCAGAAGAAGGGCCTTTAGTGATCTGCTTCTGAAAGGTCACAGCTATAAAACCCCTATTGAGCAGTTCTGCTTTGCACACATGGGGTTGCCATGAGTTGTAATCAACTTCACAGCAACTAACACCATATATGTATATAACTAAAACAGTTTATCCTATATTAGTTGTTATTTGCTGCTTCAAAAAATTGCTTGGAAACTTTACTTTTCTTGAAATTGGGCCCCACCCCTTTTGGGTAAATAGTGTGCCTTAGGTGAAAGTTTACATAGCAAGTTAGGTTTCCGTGTGACAATTTTTATACAAATTGTTCTGTGACTTTGGTTCTCAGCATTCCCATTATTTCTGTTCTGTTTGTTCTTTTTCCATTGATCTAGCTTCCCTTCACCTCTTTGCCTTATCTTTGCTTTTGGGTAAATGCTGAGTATTTGGTCTCATGTCATTGATTGCTTAAGAAAGCAATTTATGATATCATGGGTGTTTTAAGCCAGTCTGTTACTTGACTGAAAGGTGATCTCCAGAAACAGCTTCAGTTCCAAGTTCAAAGAGTATCTTAGGTGATAATCTTGAGGATTCCTCTAATCTCTTATTAGTCGAGTAGATCTGGCCTTTTTAGGAATTTCAGTTTTATTCTACATTTTTCTCCCACTCTATATGGGCCTGTCTATTGTGTCCCTGGTAAGAATGGTCAGTAGTGGTAGATGGGCACCATGTAGTTCTTCTGGTCTCAGTTTAGAAGTAGCCATGGTTTGTGTGGGCTATTACTCCTGTAGAGTAGTTCTTCAACTCTTTGATTTCCTTCATTTTTCTTTTTGTTCTAGAGGAGTAGAGACCAACAATTGTATTTTAGGTACAAAGCTTCCACTTGGAAGCTTTCAAGACCCTGGACGCTACTCATTAAACAAGGATGTAGAACATTGCCTTTATGAACTATGTTATGCCAGTTGACTAAGTTGTCTCACGAGACTGTGATCCTAAACCTTTTAACCCGATAAACCAAGCCCATGAGTTGTTTGGCTGTGTCTGGTAAGGTTCCATAACTGTGGCTCCTATGGGCTTTGTTACATAGATATATATGTAGCACACGTAAACATGTATATACTTATGTCTATAGATAACACCTGTACACATGCACATATACATGCATCCTATATGCATACGTATCTACTTAGTAACCATACGCGTATTTTTGGTTGTTATTACTATTGTAGCAAAATTGCATATATTTGCAAAAAAGATATGAAGCAGCATCATCTGACCTCTCCAGCCTCACAAGGGGGAAACAGTCACCATCAGCAGCCCAAGACTTTCTTCTGTGAGGCCAGACATGCTGCCACCCTCCAGCCTTATTACCAGCTCTGACACCAGCCATCCCTCCCGTGGCCCTTACTGCTACTCTGCTAGGTTCAATAATTCGTTGCAGTGGCCATACAGAACTCACAATACTCATGATTATGGGGTTTATTAGGGAAGTAACAGGCTACAACTCAGGTTCAGGAGCACTCTCAGGATACAGTTCTTCAGTCCGGACAGTCTCCTCTTCTCTAGCCCTTGGCCCGGCCTCTGCTGTGCTGTAGCAAATGTTTACAAAGCTCTTTTAACTCTGCTGCTAGGTAGACCTACATGCACCCCCACTTTGCTGGCAAGTCTCCTGCCCAGAGGCACTTACTCCGTGAGCCAGGCAAGCCCGCTGCTCTGTCTTGTGCCTCTTAGTCCCACTGCCTCAGTCGTCTCTTAGCTGGGCATCTCTGCCGGAGTGTCTCTGCCAAGGAGATCCAGCGCAGGGAACTCATGTCCAAAGATGCGCTCTGCTCCATCTCTAGCTCTTCTCTCTTCATGGCAGTGAGATTCCCCCTTCTCCCTCTCAGAGGGCTCATTTTAAGCCTAGCAGAATGACAGAAGGAGCTCTGGTGGTGAAGTACCTAAGGCATTTGATGGCTAACCACAAGGTTGGTGGTTCAAACCCACTGGCCACTCCTCGAAAGGTTGGGCAATCTACTTCCGTAGTGATACAGCCTCGGAAACCAAAGGAGGGGTTGCTATGAGTCAGATCTGATTTGATAGCAGTGCGTTTGTTTTTTTTTTAAATGACAAAACTGACCAAACCAAACATTAGTGTTCCATATACCTTATTTGTATGGTCCCACCCAATAATCTGGTGGTAGTCAAAAAGACCGTGGCTAGAAAAGCCATACCAAGTAATTACTGTACCACAAATTTATGTAGCATTTACCAAAATTGTCCCTTTTTGTTTTGTACTTCTTAGTGTGTTCATTAACCTCGGTCAGATATGCAAACTTCACTCGTATTTTGTATTGCCTCTCTGGTGGCATAGTGCCTGAGGCATTTGACTGCTAACCAGAAGGCTGGTGGTT